ACACACACACACACACACACACACACCACACACACACACACACACACACACACACACACACACACACACACACACACACACACACACCACACACACACCACACACACACACCACACACACACCACACACACACCACACACACACACACACACACACACACACACACACACACACACACACACACACACACACACCACACACACACACACACACACACACACACCACACACACACACACACACACACACACACACACACACACACACACACACACACACACACACACACACACACACACACACACACACCACACACACACACACACACACACACACACACACACACCACACACACACACACACACACACACACACACACACAGGAAGCCTGTGTATGCAACATTAACGCTGGGAATATTACACTTTGTTTAATGTCTGCTTCATTTCCGGTGCGGGAGAGTGTTGAAATTAGTCCAACTTTGGTTGGTCGGTTGGTGATAATTGTGCGTCCACGAGAGTGTGTCACTTGTGTGGGGGGGGGGGGAGGAGGAGCGGGGCAGGTGGGAGGGGGAGGAGGAGAGGGGCAGGTGGGAGGGGGAGGAGGAGGAGGAGCGGGGAAGGTGGGAGGAGGGGGAGGAGGAGCGGGTCAGGTGGGAGGGGGAGGAGGAGCGGGGCAGGGGGGAGGAGGAGCGGGGCAGGTGGGAGGAGGAGGAGGAGCGGGGCAGGTGGGAGGAGGAGGAGCGGGGCAGGTGGGAGGAGGAGGAGGAGCGGGGCAGGTGGGAGGAGGAGGAGGAGCGGGGCAGGTGGGAGGAGGAGGAGGAGGAGCGGGGCAGGTGGTAGGAGGAGGAGGAGCGGGGCAGGTGGGAGGAGGAGGAGGAGCGGGGCAGGTGGGAGGAGGAGGAGGAGCGGGGCAGGTGGGAGGAGGAGGAGGGGGAGGAGGAGCGGGGCAGGAGGGAGGAGGATCAAAGAAACAAATAACAAATGACAATTTTCTAAGCGTGAAGCAAGTAGAGGACCTAATTGTGTTTTATGTTTTTGTTAACTTTTTTCCGGTGTATTTCATCCTTGTGGGTTGTTTTGTTTGTTTGTATGTGTATGTTTGTGTGTTGTGTCCTGGCTAAGTTAGTGTGTGTTGTGTCCTGGGACGAGTTAGTGTGTTGTTGTTGATTTAGGGGCGACGACGATCGTGGGATCGGATGCGCCCCGGCGTACCCGTTAAGGGTGAATCGCGATGCCAAGAAAGGCGAAACGCGAAGCCAAAACACGAAACGAGTGACGCCAAGCACTAGAAACTAACATGCCACACGGCAAAGAAATGCACAAAGGGAGAGGCATAAGCACATAATATAACAGGGCTAACAAACAGCCAGAGGGGCACACAGCATTTCAAAGAGCAAATACACAGGAAATCAGTGTACATACTTGCCCGGGAACCTGGCCCGCGGGAACCATACATTGAACGCTTCTCAGAGCACTGATCGCCATGGGTCTCGTCCATCCACCGGGGACACCATAACATCCGGAACCAGGGCAACAAACACCCGCAAACAGGGGACCCAGATGGTATTACTCATGAGGCGAGAAGTCGCCACTCGCCCCCACATGAAGGGAACCTGCCCACCATGAAAGTGCGCCGGTCCGGCAGACAGCAGTAACTCGGCAATCTCCGACCAGTGACCCGGAGGCATCACAGACGCCGGCAACACGTCCTCCAGGGCCCCAACGCGCACCCTCACAGGAGCGAACGGGCCCCAGGGCACCACCACAGGGGCACCTGCGGCCCCGGGGGCACCACCAGACGACAGCAGGGAACCCGAGCGGCGCGCATCCTTCCGTAATGTCACCATCAGGCCACGCCCAGCACCAGAGTCCACACCATCCCTGGCAGCAGAAGCCACCACCCCCCACTGCGGAGAGTCCCCCTGCGGAGAAAGTACCGAAGGCACGACCGAGACACAGGCACCAGCAGGCACATGGACCTCCGCCACCACGAACTGTGGAGACATCGACGAATCCGTATCCACACCGTCAGCACCAGAAGACCCACAGTCACTGAAGTCACCAACATCGGCCCAGGCAGAAGACGAACGCCGGGAACGTTTGGGCTCCGGCCGGATATCGTCAGGGCTGGAAGTAGACCCAGAAACACTGGCACCACGAGCCGGACGAACCGACGCCCGACACAGGACGGCAGCAGCCTCTACGACAGGGGGAACTGGGCCACACACAGCAGGAGGCTCCGCAGCCACCCCAGCACCCAGCACATCCGGGACCCGAGTCACAGATACAGGGCCAGGCGCAGCATCTGAAGACGAGGGAGAAGACGGTGACACCACACAGGGAGCTCCAGGAAGGCCCATGGGAGCAGCTTGGACAGTGACAGGATCAGGCAGACCAACCGACGATACTGCAATACCTGGAGGGGGGTCGGCAACAACCGGAGGAACGTCAGGCGTCACCGGGGGAGCTGCAGCAGCGAACGGGACGCGCACCTCCTCAACATCACCGGAGACTGGCCGTGCTGGTTACCCGCTGGTGGACGTGGTGTTGAGTGACATGCTTCGTGTCCCGGTTGGGGACGTATATGGCATTGAGCTGGTAACTGCTCACCGTGTTATCAAGTTTGTGGGTGAGGCGGTGTACCGTTCTTTCTTACGGAGGTACGAGGGTCGTACCTTGCAGTTATAGGACGGCACCGGGTCTGTGACCATTTCAGACCGTAGTGGTGCTGTGACGTATGTCAGTGTTCATGGCGCCCCCATGGAGTTTCCTGAGACTCTCCTCCCGCGATTCTTCCAGAGGTACGGCTCCGTCGTCAGTGTGCGGATGAACTCCCTGTCGTCTGGCACGTATTCGGGTGTGAAGACCAACATTCGGACCCTTGGGATGCGACTGAGGTCGGACATACCGTGCTCTGTCCGGCTGTTGGGGTACTACGTGCGTGTGTTTTATGCCCGGCAACCCCGTACTTGCTTCCGTTGTGGCTTGTTGGGGCATCAGACTGCCGGGTGTACTGCTGATCCGGTCGCTCCTGTGAACTTGTTCCGTGAGGAGGATTTCCCACCTCTCCCTCTGGAGGAGGACTCCGGGGGTGAGGAGGTGAGCGTCCCATTCGCTGCTGCAGCTTCCCCGGCGGCGCCTGCCGTTCCTCCGGTTGTTGCCGTCCCTCCTCCGGTTCTTGAGGTACCGTCGGTTGGTCTGCCTGATCCTGTCGCTGTCCCAGCTGCTCCCGTGGGCCTTCCTGGAGCTCCCTGTGTGACGTCGCTGTCTTCTCCCTCGTCTTCTGATGCTGCGCCTGGCCCTGTGTCCGTGACTCGGGTCCTGGATGTGCTTGGTGCTGGGGTGGCTGCGGAGCCTCCTGCTTGTGTGTGGCCCGGTTCCCCCTGTGGTTGAGGCTGCTGCCGTCCTGTGTCGGGCGTCGGTTCCTTCGGCTCGTGGTACCCGTGTTTCTGGGTCACTTACCGGCTCTGACGATATCCGGCCGGTGCCCACACGTTCCCGGCGTTCGTCTTCTTCCTGGGCCGACGCTGGTGACTTCAGTGACTGTGGGGCTTCGGATGTTGACAGTGTGGATACGGATGCGTCGATGTCTCTGCGGTTCGTGGTGGCGGAAGTCCATGTGCCTGCCAGTGCTGGTGCCTGTGTCTCGGACGTGCCTTCGGTTCTTTCTCTGCCGGGGGACTCTCCACAGTGTGGGGTGGTGGCTTCCGCTGCCAGGGATGGTGTGGACTCAGGTGCTGGCGTGGCCTGGTGGTGACGTTACGAAGGATGCGCGCCGTCCGGGTTCCCTGCTGTCGTCTGGTGGTGTGCCCGGGGCCGCGAGTGCCCCTGTGGTGCGGGTGCACGTTGGGGCCCTGGAGGACGTGTTGTCGGCGTCTGTGATGCCACCGGGTCACTGGTCGAAGATTGCCGAGTTACCGCTGTCTGACGGACCGGAGTGCTTTCGTGGGGGGCAAGTTCCCTTCCTGTGGGGACGAGTGGCGACTTCTCGCCTCATGAGTTCTACCATCTGGGTTCCCTGTTTGCGGGCGTTTGTTGCCCTGGTTCCGGATGTTATGGCGTCCCCAGTGGATGGACGAGACCCTTGGCAATGGGTGCTCTGGGAGGCGTTCAATGTAAGATTCCCGCGGCCAAGTTCCCGGGCAAGTATGTGCTCTGATTTCTTGTGTATTTGCTCTGACATGCTGTGTGCCCTTCTGGCTGTTTGTTTGCCCTGTTATATTATGTGCTTCTGCCTCTCCCTTTGTGCGTAGCTTTGCCGTTTGGCATATTAGTTTCTAGTGCTTGGCGTCACTCGTTTCGCGTTTTGGCTTAGCATTTCGCCTTTCCTGGCTTTGCGATTCACCCTTCACGGGTACGCCGGGGCGCATCCGATCCCACAATCGTCGTCGCGCGTAACTCAACAACAACAACAACAACAAACTGGGGGGGGGGCAGAGACGCCCACACCACCTGGCGACCAAAACGGCAAACACCCCAACTCGAGTTAGTGTGTGTAGTGTCTATTAAACACAAGTGACATAACTGGTCGATCTCATACAGTGTTAAGATACAATAACTTTATGAACACGTCCAAACATAGCTGATCAAGCGGACTGTGATTTATACAGCATATTGCGAGCAGCTGCGTCAATCAGCCTTGTTAACCAGACCACTAAAGAGGAGGCCTAGTCCTCGACCGGGCCCCGGAGACATTGATCCAAAGAACCACTTCAAAGTAACCTCAATGTAAGTATTACTAAGATTGTCTCTCCCTCTCCCCCCCCCTCGTACTCTCACCACGCACTCCCCAATTATTTATTCCCCCCCTCCCCCCTCCTCTGGTTCCCTCCCCCACCTCCCTGGCGCCCCTTCCCCACCTCCCTGCCCCCCTGGCGCCCCTCCCCTAGCCTCCCCCTTCCCCAGTTTGTTCAGCGGACACCCCCTATATCTCAGACACCCACCACAGGGACTGTCTCCCCCCCCCCCCCACCCTTCTCTCCTTGAACCCCCCCCCTTTCT